CGCAGGCATCACGGGCATGATGATCCACAATGCGCTCGGCGTGGACGCGCTGTTCCCGATCGTGCAGTGAGCATCAGGCTCTCCACCAGCCGAACTTTGCTTGGCCACCTCCTGTGTCCCACGCTGCCCCCAACGGCGCCCGGCGCGTCGCGCGCGCTTTGCGCGTGCGCTTCCGCTTTCGCCGGCGACGCCGCGACGCCTTTTCCGCTATTGTTGGACGCGCACGGGGGGGCCGTGACAGCCTGCGGAAGTGGCCACACAGTGTTGCGTTGTGGTCTCTTTTCTCTCGTCCTTTTTTAGATGTCGACATTTTGCAGCCCCCAGGGTCGGCATGGGGTGCGGTGGGCAGGATCTGCGCCACTTGTGCCAGATGCCACTTGGCGGGCCCAGTGGCAGTGCGGGATCCGGGATTTGAGCTGGCAGCTGCGAGCTGGGCGCCCTGGGGGCGATTTTTGAGCTAAAAGGTAAGGAACCCTCCCTTGACGCTTGAGCCTCCTTGTGCCACCGTTTCGTGGGCACGCGCGCCGGGGCGCCGTGTGCTCGCCCTTGGATGCTTGATCGTCGATCAAGACGCCCCAGGGCAGTGGGGTGGCGCACGTGTGGATCAGCTCACGCTGAGCGTTCGGGACGGCGCGATACTATTGAATAGGCTCCACCGGAACGCAACCACGTTGCATGAAAGCCGGCTCCAACGGTGCGTCCGGTGCTCCTACAGTGCACATAGGCCGCGGATCGGCATCGGGCTACGGGCTAGAGAGCCCTGACCCCTTGCTAGGGGGGTGCGCGTTCGCAGGGAAAGGTCCGTAAAGTAAACACGGGTCCCCGAGGGTTAGCTCTGCGCGTCGAGGCCTCCATTTTCTTCTCGTTGCGTGCAGATCTGCGAGCGCCACATGGGGCTGCCAATTCCATGCCGAGGGCCACCCCAGCACAGTCATGGGGCAAAGGGGTCCGCACCTTCGGCTCTGCCCCTCTGTGGTCCACGGAGCCGCTCCTCACTGCTGTCGTGCCTCGCCATCCTCTTCCTCGACTGGGGCTTCTCGCAGCTCTTCGTGCGGCTGGACGGCGGCGAGCCGCTCGAGAGAGGCGCGCCGGCCCGAGGGCTCCGAGAAGGCTCCTCAATAATGTGCTAACAGCAGCCCCCGCGCCCCTCCAGCGCCGCTATACCAACCATGCCTCGACTCCGCTCGACCCTTCTCCTTGCCTCTCGCCCCCTCCATGCGCCACTTCCCCCCTCCGAGCCGCCGCCTCCGTCATGATTGCCTTCCCCCGCCGCCCCTCCTCCTCCCCGCCGCCCTCCTCCTGCCGGCCTACCGGGACGGCGACGCGCACACTCGCTGCCCGCGCCGCCC